GCCATATCCTGAAGCATATTCCACTTAGTTTCTTAGATCACAGCCCAGTTAGAATCACATCCAAATACCTTTGCGCAGTTTATCTCCAATTCTGTAAATTGCACATCTTGAAGGTTAGACAACTATCGCCATTTCTCTTTATATTTCAGCAATATTTAAACATGAAACGTATATGTATATAAGGTAGCATCAATAAGTAAATAAACAGAATACTGAAAATAAACCATCGCACTTGTCTTGTGATTGAGACTAAAAATGGAAGCATCTGAAGCATCACCAACATACACTTATTTTTTAATCTAAATATTTAAGGACTTTACAACTCGGTGAAAAATGAAATGTCAGAGAATTAAAGAACAATGTCAAATATATCTTTTAAATTCCTCATTAAGTCTCCCCAGTCATATTTCAAAAGATTCTAAATATTTATGACTTTCTAAACTATTGGACATGAATTAATCATTTGATACAGAACTATTTCCACAAGTTGCTTTGGTAGTACAGTGACAGATAAAAAAAGAAAGGCTTAACAGAAGTTTCATTTCATCCATGAATGAGTTAATAAAGAAGGAATGCAGATATCTAATTGCACAATTTGCAGTCATTTCTGAAGGGGGTGTGTACAGCAGAGGGGGGAAAAACATAGAAGATGGAAAACCTGCAGAGAAAAATGCAACAAACTGACGTATTTCGGCATAGGCTATGCATGGGTGTAAGCCCCGTCTCCTTCCCCCTTGACAAAAAGGATCCAAGCTATTCCCGTGCCAGGAATTTCCTGCAACTATCTCATGTGCAACACAGCCTCCTTCTCCGCAATGTTTTTCTGAAATGCCTCCTGGTTGCCTAAGCAATACTTGCTAAAGAATGAGAACTTCTAGGAGGCCCCCCACTGTCAGGAGGATGAGGCTGGGTGCTGCCAACAGGCGCAGCAGATGAACTTGAGGGTATGCACCAACTGAACAACACTGTCACCAGTGTCAACTCACATCTAATGTAGACGTGGCTCCATTCAAATAAAATAGTATTGGCGATTTGAAAACAGAAATAACAGCAAGGGGTGGGGTGGGGTGGGGGGGAAATCTATGCGTGGTTCCAATATTCTAGTTACGGTGGACCAGGTGTGGGGTCTAGCAAGATTTAAGGTTTATCATCAGTAACACAGGAGAGGAGCTGGACATGGGGGCAGGATAGAGGCTTGCACAAAAAGCCTGGCCAGAGGCACGCAGTGAAGAACCTGCTGCAGATCTGTAATAGATATCCAGGAGGATGTGTTTCTCAGAAATGATTCAAACCTGGGAACGTTCAAAAAACATCACAAAAAGCAGGTAAGTTTTCTAGCCATCTGATATGAAACAATGCACCAAACAGGTATATCTGCTATGCAAGCCTACATGCAACTAAACTTGTATCATCTTCCTCTGCAAGTTCCTAAGAAAACTCTGTTTTCATCCGTATTTAAAAAAGTCATTTCCTTCTCAATTAGGTATAAATGCGCTCATACAGCTTTCATCAGAGCAATCTGCAGGCAACAGTACAGCCTTCAGCTGATGCTTCATCAAGGTGCCTCCCCCCTCCCAATTTATTTAATTTAGCCATTCTAGTGGCTAAAGAGATGATTTTGTCATATAAACAACATAATAACATCCACTGAGGCATTCCAGAGAAGTGGGAACACTTGATTTTCACTTTGACCAAAACAACTCTTTACTGAAGTAGCCAACAGCGATGCTCCTCAGATGGTAAGATCTGTGAAGAAAATTTATGAAGAGGTAATACAGAACTCAAGTTGACAAAATTACACTTCTCTAACTCTGATACTTCCCCCACACTGAAGCGACTGAGGGATAGTGTCTACTGCGCTGTGAAAGAGAAAATGTGGAAAGTAAAGAAAACCAAAACAAAAAAACCCTTTTTCAAAATAATGCTTCAGCTCCAACACAGGCTTGCATCAGTAACTGACGCTGATGATTAGCAGATGGTTCTGATAGACACATTGCCTATTTTTTTTCCCCCAGAAGTTTTAATTCTGTTCTTTAAATTCAGAGATGTGACATGAAGATCTGCATGTGGCATACACCCACAGGTAGACCACTGAAGTTAAAGAATTAGTCTAGCTTTTACTATACTTAGGTGGTTTTACTCTGGAACATTTTTTTTCCCATTTATGATGCAGAAATACTGCCAATAAATAGCTCCATCTCCAGAAAGCGGTAATAATTCCAGCCGCCTTTCAACAAGGAAAAAAATAGCTCAAGTGTCAATGATAAAGAAAAACAAGCTTCATGTATACAATCAGAAAGAGTGAACGCTGGCTGTGTTTAATCCAATGGAAATTTTGGTAAAGACTTCAAGTACAGTTAGATTAACGACAGGAGAGCCTTCAAGATTTATAAAATAAACCAGAAGTTGATTAGACATAGTTGAGCTTAAGGAAAACGGAATCCAAATGCTCTTTAGCCCAATACAGTATTGTTCTGTCTTGATTTCTGCTTTTTGTATGTTTTCACGTGCTCTACTCTCTCAGTACTGTCAGGGGTGATAAATGGGGAGGTGGTCAGATAAGGAAACAGGATTACCATAGCTGGATTAATCTTTATTTCCTAATATATATTTTTCTGAAGAATAAAGATATCAGAAGTCAATTGCAAATGAATACAGCATGGAATCTTACTGAAGGTTTCCTTTAAACAGGAAAAACAAGGAACAAGTGAAAACTACTTTGCTGGAAATTCTATTGGATGATCTGAACACACTTTAAGTCAAGTATTTCTATTAATTTCTGGCAGCAGTTTTCTCTCTTTGGCCCCAAAGTAGCTGTATCCTAAAGATATGAATGCCTTTTTTTTTTTTTTTTTTTTTTTAAACAAATAGAAAGTGATTCACAGTTCACCAAGGACCTAATTTCCCAGCTCAAACCTGGTGAGCACTAGCAATTCATGGAATGTAATGGCTGGTGACATACAGGGGGTCAGACCATGATCTCATGGTCTCTTCTGGCCTTAAACTCAAGGACTCTATTACACACTTGTCCAGCTAATGTGCTTGGAAGTGAACTCTATTTCCATTTTAATGCAGAACTATAAGATTACGTTAGAGACCATACACACATCTGACTGAAAGTTGGAAGGTAACAAAAGAGAACACTCGTGATAATAAAAAGCAGCTGCATGAAGAAAGATTTAAAGTAACAGTGCACACACTTAAAATAGTGTGCTAGACAATACTTTTATAAAATTAGTCAAGAAAAAAATTGGAGTGTTTACAGGGCAGCAGAACTTTTTAGGGTTAACTGTGCTTCCATCCAGAGAGCAAGCGAGCGCGCAGGCATACACACGCTACCACGCGTATAGCTACAATACTGTAGCATGAAGGGTCGTTTACAGGATCTGCACATCCTGATATAGCTACAAGGAGCATACATTATAGTACTGGAGCACTGAATCAATTAACCCTCTCTGGCTCTTTTCCAGCCAAACCCTCACTCATTTACTTCCCTGCTTTTCAAGCACTGGAGCTGGATACGCTGGAATGAGTCAATCAACAAACAAGGGTGGCAGCAGACTGCGAGCTTTGCTAATAAACAAAGAGAAAACTGCACATAGACTCTGCTAATCACTTAAGTAAAATTGTCAAAAGAATGGAAGAGAAAGGACAGCAAAAAAGAATACAACCTTATTTCTATCTTTTTTTTAAATGTGGCAAGAATGATTCTTCTCCTCCGTTCAAGAGTTGGAGAAAATACCTAGGTAAGAAATACAGTTTTTCCAAAATAGAAATTCTTAATCTTGATGTTAGAGGAAGCATAAGTGCTCAACAAAAGCACACAAAGAGACAAGCTTTAGAAAAAATTATAAAAACCAAAACCAAATGAACAACTTGTTTTCCAGAAAGTAGTGAAAAATCTTATCTTAAAATCCACCATGTGATGAAAAAGAAAATTACAAAGTATCTTCCTGGATGCAAAGTGAACTCTACTAAATTGCACGAGAAAGAGGTAAGGCTTTCTTCACTTGAAAACTGCAACACATGAAATCTTCTCAGTATTTGTTCAGCTTAATGCCGTGACAGCTGTTTTAGTCTCTGCTTGAAGGGGGAAATGTAAGCGTTAAGTCTTCAGCAGAGTTGAGAGAGACAGAGAGAGAGAGAGAAGGCTGTGCTTAATAAAAGCCCTGCTCAGATTACAAAAACAAGCGGTTTACTCACCCCCCCTTCAAGTAATCGGTAAATTTAGATGTCTCAGTTCCATAAATCTTTACAGTCCCCTTGAGACTGTCACCAATGTTTTATTGTCTACAGCTTCCTGACCCTCACCTGATAAATTAGGAACTGTAGACATTAAAACGGAAACCTCATACATCATTTCTGAAGATATTTTTGGGGTGACCCTCTGTGGAGAAATAGGATTCTTAATAAGGGGAAATATGGGAACTGCCGTCTGCCTACGCATACGCTGCTGGAGACTAGACACTCGGGAGAGGAGGAGTTGCATATACACAACGCGAGCATCTGCCTTTGCATCAGTTTGTACTTACAGTGTATGTAGATTTGCTCTTTGTATCTAAAGGGAACCATTTGGCATCCAAATTCATCTATCAGTTTTTACTGCTGTAGAAGGAAGCAAAAAAAAAAAAAAGGGGGGGGAAGCTAATGCACTGCTTACTTTTCACAGCTATTGAACTGTCTCCTATAATCTTCTGAAACCTGAACCTCGCTATAAAGGGGAGACCAGACCACTGAACCCTACCAAGCAGAGATGGACACAAAACAGGACTTTCATTTTTAAGACCTAATTGCGCCCAGCAAGGCACAGGATAAAAAAATTGGATACCGGCTCGGACATGGTTACAATATCTCAAAATAGCAGATGACCAGTTCACCATACTGACCATGCTGGCCTTTCTTCAGGACCATCCTGGACCAGAGAGGAAGAGTGAACTCTTACACCGTACACAATTCCTGCGCAAAATACAGCTCCTGAACACATTTCACTGGACACAAAAATGTCCTATCCTTTACATTCCTTGAATGGGTCTGGAGTTGGCAATGGATCTTTGTCGCCTCTCTCAGTAACAGGAGAACCCAAGCAGGACTACTCAAGCGACGAACAAGGAAACAAAGTGCATTGGGCAGCTTTACTGATCCTCCTGGTGATAATCCCCACCATTGGGGGGAACATACTTGTCATACTGGCGGTGTCTCTAGAGAAAAAGTTGCAATATGCTACCAACTACTTTTTGATGTCCTTGGCAGTGGCAGATTTGCTTGTGGGTCTGTTTGTGATGCCGATTGCCCTTCTCATAATATTATTTGGTAAGTACAGCGCATTTGTTTCATCAGGCTAGCATATGGGGTACAATTTGGGGAGGTCTAATTCAAACAGAAAAACTGTTTGCTTTCCACCATTACAATTTTAAAAATCATTTGGATGAGGGCTGCTAAATCTTCTTTCCCTTCTCACCTTAATATAGCTTAATGTCTTTATGGGAAGTATACCCACTGTGGATATTCTTTCCTTTGAAACAAACCATTCAAAAATCACCTGAGACTTAGAACTGATACTAAATTGGAGCTGGACATGAAAATTACATTTTGTACAGTGTAATATTATTTTTAACAACATCAGCACAATATCAGCACAATCTGTTCCATTGGATATTACATTAATTGCAGGCAGTCTTCTCTTAAAAAACATGAAACAAAGACTAGGTATCTGTTCGGTACACTTGAACAGGTTTTGAACTTTCTAGGAGTCAGGCACCTGATTTTACCTTAGTATTGACTCCAAGCTCCACGAGCAGTCAGAGATGGTCCCTGGTACCATCAGTGAAAACAAACGTTTACCAGTACCAGTTTCAGAGAAACTGATTTTCTCCCACCCTGGGGAAAGCGGCAGGTTCGTAAAGCGTCCCAAAAAATTAACTCACCTGTCAAGCCAAGGAAGCCTCAGTCCATGTACCTAATCTTTGAGATTCAGATTTATCATTTACTCTGGTTCATATGGAATAAAATAGGTATTTTTTACATGAACGTACACTGGGTGTGACATTTTCTTTCTGGTTGGTCATTACAGAACAAGCATGAATTTTTCATATTCTCTCATGCCCAGCTTTATTTCAGATATAGCCAAAGGCCTCGTTAATAATAAAAATAAAACTACTAACCATACAAAGTACTAGTATTGGACTAGCAATCAATACAAAGGGAAGGCAGGTTCTGCATTTTGTGGTGGTGTTTTTTGGTGGTGGTGGAGTTTTTTTGTTTTGGGTTTTTTTAATTATTTTCATTTTGCTAGACTAATAAATCTTGTCTTTTTAACTTTATAAAGAGAGTATTGCTCCTTAATCTCTCAATTAATCCAGTGCTAAGCCCTGGTTACAACAGTTTAAAGCATGCTAGGAATCTTAATTTGAAAGTCAAACAAAAGCATCTTTCATGTTGCAGGAAATTTACAAGAAAGTAGCAAAATTAGTTCTAATTAACTAAGTAAGACTGCGACCAGCCTTTCACATAGCAGTGGTTAAAACTGAAGTTTCTTGCACCCAAGTCTCTCTTTGGCAGCTGCCCAGAAAAACTGCTTTGCCTCTTCACCGACTGGGAGAAGATGCTGAGGTGTTTATAGAAGTTCAAAGCATGAGCAAAACATGAGGAGTTACTGGAATGAAGCTAGAACAGACATTTAAATATATAACAAGTCTAAATCTTGAAGCTACATTAGCCAGATAACTACTTGAACACAGAATAATCACTGATAGCCAGAGAGACAATTAAATCGAGCCTCCTGGCACTTCCACACAGGAATGTTTCCATAATAATGAAATAGCTGGGTGCAGCTTCTAGATACAGAATACAAATATTATGCTTCCGATTTGGGACTGATATCTAATTACGTGGAAATTATATGAAGGAAAAGGTGTGAACTGAAGTGCAGTCACATTAAATGATCCTGACTGTAAAAACTGATGTGTCACAGAGCGTTACAATTCAAAACCTACTACAGACATTGGCTCCACGCCCTGACAGTATGCTTACAGAAAAATCTTCAGAAATAAACTGTCTCTGTAATAAAGAGCTGCCCCTTGAATAAATAAATAAATAAATCTGTAACTCACTCGCAGGTATAATACCATGAGCAGCAGATTATTTATTCTCAGCAGAGTGACCAAAATGTACTCTGGTACAAATATACACTGCAATTTTAATTTAGGAGTGCGAGTGTCAGAGTATACAAACAGTTCATTGCTTTTCTTGCTTGCTAAATTCTCACTTCTTCCAAAAAAAGGAGGGCATGTTAGGAAATAATCGCATTCTCCGAAATCTAGCTTTCAAAAGAGTTATCCAAATTTCTAACACTCAGAACTACTGAAGGAAAGCAAAAATGTTGCTCTTCATCAGGTAGTGAAATGAGCAAATAAACTTGAGAGATCCTCCCATTTGCAAAGCCTGCAGCAAGAAGAAGTCTGTTGTCCACAGCTTGGTGGGCAATGGGTTACCTGGAGACAGTGCGTGTACCATCTTTTGAAATATATTCTCTATTCCTGATATTCATCCACTTAAAAATCAGAAGGTAATGCTGATCGTCCTAGGCTGCAAACCATTATCTTTAAAATGTTAATTTTAAAATCACAAGCAATCGCCATCTTAATCTTCATTACTGATGATGAACCACAGCAAATCTTCCCTTCTTGCTTGTGCAAACTACCAGAGAAAACTGCTTTAATTGAAGGCTACTTTCCAAAATCTCAAATCTAAAGATAAGTAAGAAAACAAAGGTTTATTCCTCAGAAAGCAACTCCAATTAAAAAAAAAAAATTACTTTGGATAAACTCAAAAAACTACATGACAGTGAACAACTACTGTTGAAGCTATAATTGTAGCAGAGAAATAAAGGCAGGCAGCCACGGGGGTGAAACAGCAAGACAGCAGCCTGGAAAAGCCAGGCCTATGCAGTCCATGAAGCTGAACACTGACACAAGGGTGAACACCGCATACGCAGGCTACAGACACACGCACACCAATTTGAAGACTGAAGCCTAAGCTTAAGTCAGCTAGTGATTAAAAATATCCAATTTCCATCTCAGTAAAAGCATCATTATCCAACAGCAACAAAATCCTTAACAGGCAACACGTTTCAGTAGCCCTTATAGCAGAAGAACAAACGGTTTCCACGTCTATATAAAGATCTCTCTCAATCATGCTTATACATGTACACAAGCAGAGCTTTCAAAAAACCTTTTGGCTTACAGCAAGAGCAGCTTTTCTATACTGTACTTTGTTTTAAGGATTACACATTTCCAAAGTATTTCCTATAAATAAAGCTTTTCTTAAATAAAGATTAATCAAGGGTAGGCAGTTGTAGTAAAAGGTCATCTTACTTCTCTTAAGGTACAAGACAAATCTTAAAACATGTATTTTGTCTTGTATTGACTCAAAATAAGGAAAATAATCTGCAACAGCAGCACTGCTGCAGTGCTGGGAGGATCCGAGGCAAGGTTTGTAGGAAGGAGGAATATCTTTTTATCTTATACACCTGACAACTGGAGAAACCAGGTAGGTTTTCAGGCAGGCACGTTTGTCAGGTAACCTACGCATTTAAAAAAAAAAAAAAAAATTAAAAAATCCAATCCACTAGCTTGCTTAAATCAGCATTTCAACTCCCAAGGAAAAAGAAGGTGGAGAATCTCAGTCAGCCCAGTAAATGCTCTGGTCTGCTCCCAACAGTGTGGATCTATACTAGGAGAATCAGAACTTGTAACAATCCAAACTAAGCATGACCTGCTATTGGCTTCGCATCACCACTTGGCAGGCCATACTCATTTTACGTTCAGTCTGATTTATAACGCAGGACAACAAACAAGCAGGTCACTGTCATGTTCAAGGGTCAGAGATGCTTTCTGAGTCCTGAGGGGAAATTAATATTCCATCTTTTCCCTACTCCCAAACTGACAGAATAGGCCAGCAGTGATACACACCACCACCACCACCAGGAAAGCACAAAACCTCAGCCCGGAGCATTCCCTCAAACACTAGGCACAGAGCTTCTAACACAGGTGTAACCAAGAAATCAAAATAAGTAAAAGCAAAATACACCACAGTATGAATCCTAGACAACTATGTGACTCTTCTGGACTTCAAGGTACCAGTTTCACAATATTTGTTTAGTTTAAATAATAACCATATTCTTCAATTCTTTGTTTTGTTTAAGTAATAACCGTATTCTTCAGTTCTTATCAGCTAGTACATTTAAAGTCTACTCTGATTTTGTTTGGATAAAAAACATCATCTCATACACGCTAATATAATAGTACATAATGCTGTAATAATGAATATGATAACTTACTGCCTTCTGCACCCAGTTCAAAACAAGACAAAAATAAAAAAAGACAAAGCTATCTCTGTTCAGTTGCACTTACCAACTAACAAAAGCTCTTACAACTCATAAAAACATACAAGGTTGCTTTGTATCAGATAGTTGTTTAAATGCATCTATATTTAGAAGAAGGAAAAGAGCTTTTTGTTGCAAAATATTTGAGGGTTTTCTTCTGCAAAGAGTAAATTAACTACAAAAGGAAAGAATTTATCACACTGCAATTCTCCAGAAAGCAAAGCAGTTATAATCCACGGAGCAGCATGTAAGTACTCTCCAACAGAAGTATTAGCTGCTCACTTGAAATCCCGCTGTGTTATCTGCCATCCTTCAAGATGTAGAATACACTTTCCATTGTTCACATTTTATCTGAACTAATCCTTCATCACAGAGTCAAAAGAAGTAGTCTTATTTTTCTGGAGTGAGCAAAAACATTTAAAGCCCATCAAATCAATTATTTCTTTTAACTGTATTCTTTTTTTTTTCCCCCAGCTGGTTATATGAGCCACAAGATATTTTTGTTTTCCTTTTTTTTCTTCAGAAAGGCACCATACCTTACTGCCAGCTAAAAGTGTAGATAGAAAAATTAAATATGAGTAAGGATTTCATAATATACTAATTACAACTTTCTCATACCTGCCTGACAGAATAATTTTTGAAGCACAATTTCAACCATGGTATCTATTATAGGAAATATGCAGCTAGATACTAAAATTTACTGGTTGATGATTTGAAAATAGACCACCTCTTACACTGCCTCCATCATCCTCACCTGGAGTCCACTGCTTTGGGGATGGGTGAGGTTCGGCTCAGGGCTCCATCCATCCGTTCTCTTTGTTTAACAGGCAAGGTTTCCCAACATAGGTAATAGTGCAGACAAGTATGTGCTATGTCTGACTTTATAAAATTTTCAGTCCTCTGGAGTTTATAATTCAAGTCAAGGCAGCACCATTATAATTTCCGTCCATCAGGCACATTATGAAAAAACATTTTAATCTCAAACTACTGCAATATTACCACATTGATAAGACTGGGCATTACAATAGTCCAGCTCATTTGGCATTCTCAGCATGCAGATCTATTTATTCAGAGCAAGAAGATTAAAACCAATCTGATTTGTCAGAAATGTCTTTTTTTTTTTTCCCCTTAATCGTCATTCAACGAAGAACTGATTTCTCTGGCAACACTATTAATGTGCCTACTGATTGAGTACAGCTGAATTTTATAAGGAAGGAGAATATATTTACTAGCTCAGCTTCTACCATTAGAAATAGAAAAAGCTTCTGTGTTCACACATTCTTCCCTAGAACTACAGAACATTCTTATAGACAACACTAAGGTGCACCTCAAATTGAACACTGCTAGCACTGGATTGCAATACAAACTACTTGTGAGTGAAAATAAAGCAGTTAAGAAAAAAATAATCATAGTTCCATTAAATTTCATTCAGTTTGGTATTATAAGCATTGATAGGGAAGACCCAGCTCTCAAAAATACAAGCCTTTTGGAAAATCGAACACTACAAAACGTTTATCTTGGACACAATGCAGTTGACAGACCCTATGTTCGCTGTAAAGATTAACATTAAAGACAGGTAACTACTGTAAGAAACAGGATGCCAGACTTAGAATCCAAGCCATCACTCTTGGGGAAAAAAAAAAAAAGACACACATGAAAGCCCTTCAATTTTTATAAAATCATTGCTGAGACAGAAGAGCCCTGCTTTGCCACATTAGTGCTCAACTGTATCTGGTCAAGTGACACAGTAAACTCATTTTAAAACTGTGTGAACTAGATTCTTCAAGATCACCACTAAGATTCAACCATGGTTCTGCAATGATTGACTAATACATTGGTTATGACCCATTGTCTCCTCCATTTAACACAACCTTGAATCATAGAACTATCAAGGAGATATAGCTGAAAATAATCATTTAACTGCAGAGCGCAAGGACCAAGCACAGTCATGGCCTATTTTTTAAAAACTTTTTTATCCAGAGTCCTTGCCACAAAGAGCTTATGATCTAAAAAGGACAAAAAGACAGGGAAAGGCTTATAATACACAAACAGCCTGATCAATATGATGGCAGCAACCATGTCAGTTAGGAGCTAACTAAAATGTAAGACAGAATCCAGCTGAGGCAGTGGCAAAGCTTGGTTCCTGTAGTATTATGAACTTCTCAAAGGTACTGATGCCAAGGGAAAACCACATACTGAAAACTCTCAAAAAGCTTAGATTCTAATGAGTTTTCTGTTCTCTTTCAGACAATGCCTGGCCTTTTCCAACTGCCTTGTGTCCTATCTGGCTGTTCCTTGATGTCCTCTTTTCCACAGCTTCCATCATGCACCTCTGTGCCATCTCACTAGACCGCTATATTGCGATTAAAAAGCCAATCCAGGCTAGTCAGTACAATTCATGGGCTACAACAATCATCAAAATCATCGTGGTTTGGCTCATTTCAATAGGTACGTGAAATTCAGAGACTGGAAAAGGAATGCAGAAGCTTTATGTCCAAAACAATAGGTGAAAGCTAGGCAAAATGGAAAATTTGGCCAAGTACTTGATCAGGAGACCCTAACACCTGGGCTGGCCTAAGTCCACCTCTTGGATCATACATAGCTACATCATAAAAATCTGCCTGAACCACTGCTCCTTATCAGGCTTACCAGAAAGGGCAAGGATTGAGTAGGGATAATCACTCTTCTTCATGGTCCTAGAAGTCCAAAAATCAGAAGACAACACCTGCACGCATAGCATGCCTCCTGGGAAAGCAAGATTTCATGTTCCTGTGGTAGTATATTCTGTCCCAAACACAATTTTAAGCCTTGAGTAGATGCTGCTAAAATCTGTGCCTTACAATTGTCCCATGAAGCAAGTAAAAAAAAAAAAAAAAAAGGTTAATTACTTACATCAAATATTGAAAGATAAATGAGTGGCTGGTAACATTCACACTGAAGACTGAGATGCACTGGTGATATAACATATAGAAAGGCTAACTTCTAAGCAAAAAAAACCAAACAAAAAACCTAAAACCCTGAACAGTTTATATTAAGGATGCCAATGTCTGAACTTTTATGATATTAGTACGTCTGTGATATGCATGTGGCACCTCACCTGTCTTTAATGCTTAAAAAAATAAATCTGTTAAATGAGCTAAGGAGGTGAAAACATTTAATTCAAATAACAATGTGCGCTGCAGGCAGCAATAGGCATAGTGCTGTATGCTCTGTGTGCAAGAGAAAGAACAAAATTATTCTGCATTATTAAGGCCAATGATGCACAGGAGAATGGGTACATTCACCTTCTTGGCTGAGGCACACATGCCTAAACCCAAAAATTCCAACTTGAAAAAAATTCTGGAAGAGCTGTGATGACAGGAGAAAAGATACTATCTCTATTTTATCACAAAAAAAGGAAACAGTTAGCATGACAAGACACTTACAAGTTGACCTTTTAATGCCTGATTTATTGTTATTAATCAGTGCTGGACTTTTTCATTTGTTTTTTATCTAACACAAAAGTGCTCTGCAGCTGAGCCAGGGTCCTCCAAATCAAAGGTTAATTTGGTTCAATCCTCATTTTAAACGTTTGCTGTATCTGAAGGTGTGCCTCTTATTAAGAAAGGGATCAAGTGGCTGAAGGGTAAACCATTTTGCTCTTGCTGCCTTCAACCAACTTCAGTAAGCAGAGTAGCAGAGGAATACAGTAAATCCCTAGATCTCATTAAGCAGTATCAGGAAACATAGCACAAATAACCTTCACCAGACAGCAAGGAACCTGCTGTTTTTGTTGTAATGTCAGACTGCTGGCAAATGAAGTGCTGACTGTAATTTAGTGGTTATAAAAAAATCATTTAAAAGACAAGACTGCTAACATTTTTTTTTAAACGAGTGGTGAATTACAGAGCTAGCTAGCCTCATTTAAACACTCTTAAATATGCAAGAGACTTTAAACAACAAATCCATCTCAAACACAGACTGCATAATTCTGGTATCTATTTAACTACTTGTACATACGAAAGTCAAGCAGGGTGAAAAAAATCAGCTGTGTCCAGTCACTTGATATCGTTAAGGTAAGAGGGAAAGACAAGTTTTAGGTATTTACAGAACTGCCCTTCAAAAAGTGCAAAGATTACCCCAGGGAAAAAGAAAAAGCAGATGGCATTAGGGAAATACATTTCACTGGAGGAAAAGCCATACTAATTCTAACAACTAGAGTCAAAGCAATTCATGTGTTTTACACTTGAGAAGTTGGCAACTTTAGCGCTTCCTCAATCACTAAGGGTTAGGCCCAATCTCCCTAGAAAGGGCACTCTGTTAAAGCTAAGCTTGCCAAGTCTCACAAAGTACTATTTTCCAATTACCCATGCGATGCTCTGAACAATTCATGTCCTCTCCGTCACCCTATGCCTACTCCACAGCTCAGGAACTATCTTTCTTTAGAGACCCTGAGGCTTGAGGCCCAAAAAAGAGATTGCAAGCGATTACCATATGCTGAAGTACTTGGTTTTTCTCCTGTAGGCATTGCTATTCCGATTCCTATCAGAGGCATCGAAGATGGAAATGGCGATTCTACAAACATCACGTGTGTCCTGATGCCTGATCGTTTTCATGACTTCATTCTCTACGGATCAGTGGCCGCATTCTTCATTCCCCTCGCTATCATGGTAGTCACTTATTTTCTGACAATCCAAGTGCTACGCAAGAAGGCCTACTTGATCAACAAGCCACCTCAGCGTTTCACTTGGTCAACAGTGTCCACAGTATTTCAGCGTGACACAACACCTGCCTCCTCACCAGAAAAGGTGGCCATGCTAAATGGCTCCAGAAATGACAAGACTTTGTCCAATGACATGTCTATCTGCAGAACATCTACGATTGGGAGGAAGTCCATGCAAACGATAACCAACGAACAAAGAGCGTCAAAAGTTCTGGGGATTGTATTTTTTCTTTTCTTGTTGATGTGGTGCCCATTCTTCATAACAAACATAAGTTCAGTTCTGTGCAGCTCCTGCAACAAGGAGGTTTTTCAAAAGCTTATGGAGATATTTGTTTGGATAGGATATGTATCCTCAGGAGTGAACCCTCTTGTCTATACACTCTTCAACAAAACATTTAGGGAGGCTTTCAGCAGGTATATCACTTGCAACTATAGGACCACAAAGCCTATCAAGGCCCTTCGTTCCAGCAGGATCTCTTTCAGAAGCTCTGTGGCAGAAAATTCCAAGCTCTTTGTCATGCATGGGATGAGAAATGGGATTAACCCCATTATGTACCAGAGCCCAATGAGGCTGAGGAGCTCACCCATCCAAGCGTCATCGGCCATTCTGCTGGATACATTGCTGCTCACAGAGAATGAAGTTGATAAAACAGAAGAACAAGTCAGCTATGTATAGTGGAATGGCAGACATGTCCGTATCATAGTATTACTGTATGTGTTATTCTAGGTAACTGTGCTGTAAGAGGATATAAATACTACTGTTTTCTGTTATTTATGCAAGCAATATCTTATAAATTTATATTAATTCGTCTCCTCCAAAGTCTCCTCTACTTTAACTCCAACCCCATGGTGGCAACCACAACTTCATTCCATGATAAATGACTAATGAAGAACTGTAGTCTACAGGAGGAGGGAAATAAATAAAAGCTAAATCAGTTTGAGTATCTGACTTCAGTTCTCATCATCTTCAGTCTCTTCAAAGTACATTTTTATAAGAAAAGCATCTCTGTACAAACACTACTTTAACATTCATTCTGGCAAGACAGAACACTCTGTAGGTTGATGCTCTACGATGAAATTAGCAGGGGAATACAAACTTGCTGGTTTTAATTTAAATCCACCTTTACGCTGTACAAACAAAACAGCACACAAGCTCACTGCATTGCCTCCTCCAGATACGTTCCTCTGCTGAGGCCACGTATCCAAGTACGAGCTTTTCTTGTTCTCTGAGGGTACATATATCACAAGCAGAATCACTCACTCCAGAGACCAAAAGCTGTACATGCCCATTCCACAAGGGGTAAAACGGGTTCTTAGCAGGTGAGAAAAAAATTCCATATGCTGACATTATCCCTTTGTGGTTTTAATGTAGGGGTGAGCAGAATCTCTTACCGACCTGAATTTCTTCTCCATTACTCTCACAGACACATAAGCCTGGTATTGTCAGATTTGTCACAGAAAACTGCCCTTTGTTCCTTTCATACTAAGAAAATGAGAGCGTTTAACCAAAATAGGACAACACCTCATCAATGATCATGAGTAAAACTGGACCGGCAGTGCCTGGAACATCCCTTTAATTTATATGAACAAACTTCCTTTTTATGATCATTGGAACTTCAGTGAAAGCTTTCCCTCATGCAATATAGTTCACACGAAGTAGAAAAATCTCAGATAGAGTACCTATTTCACTTGAAAATAGAGCAAGTGTTTAAGACACAGCAGAGACAACAGTACTATCTAGACCTGCAAGTATTCGCAGTTTAGCTTAGCTCAAAATAATTTCATTGGACTGATGGCATAAGATTACAGGTCCTAATCTGCAGTCTCTCAAACATGCTCAAGCCTTCCATCAGAACACAAAATTCACGGAAAGAATCGCTCCTCACAATCTGTAAAAGCTACCAGAGTCTATCATCTGGGAAATCAGGAGCTTCTGACAGCTCCAGACTATCTCTCTTTGGGAAGGGAAATCGGATTTCCCCAAACTACTGGAGTTCTTACAGTAAGCAGCCAGCTCACCATGGTCGTTTTTTTTATAGTTTCCATTTACAGTAAAATTTTCAGCTTGGGCTTTGTTTTCATTTTTAATGTTTTCAGTACTCTTTAGTTACACACTACAATTATGTACAGCAAAAGGCTTAGGTTTTTTCATCTGCAGAACAGAAAGTACTAAAGATAACATGTCCTTCCAACATTTATTTATATATATTTAATTTAAAACATATGCAAGTTCGAAACAGAGCCTAACGTAACAACTGCTAGGGTTCCAGGAGAAAGTATTAAAAACACTTCTGCGGTACTTACAGTAATTTGTCTCCTTCCTCTCCTTCTTGGTGATAGTCACTAGCCACTTAAGTTAGAATAAGCTCTAACTGCTCTTACTCCTCTTTTGTTAATCAAAATTTGTTTAAAAGGATCCTGTAGTTAAAAGCCAGAATTGATGGATTGCTATAGCTGTGAAAGATGCCTACATCTAAAAATACTTGAGAATCAATTTAATAAGACCTAGATTACTTTGAAGCTCAAGGGGGGAGGGAGTAGGAATAGAACAAACCCCAAAACTCCCAAAATTTCCAGGCATGTGGCTGAAAACATCACACACTAGTGTCTCATTTAACCTAAAGCAGGTGTTCTGGAACCAGGTAAAAGTGAAATCACATCCATGCACAGAGTGATCACAGCAAAAAAAATTAAAAGCATCACTTGCAATGCGGGAATCAGCCTTCATGAGGAGTAACATCAAGAGGCAGATGGGCACAGCACCATTCTTGAGGGGTTATTTCCCAGCAGCCAGAGAGCCAGAAGCAGTCATCTTTGAAAACTCTCTTGCTACTTAAATAAATCCATGCTGACTGAACAAAAACCGTTCATACAGCAGGTAGCAATCATCTACTTTCAGCAACAAATTAAATTTTCCCTTTCCAGCAGAAGCACAGCTGGCTCACAGCATCTGGAAAGAGCAAGAGGTAACTTAGTTCTCTTCTGTGTGACCCTGTTCTTGTACAACTGTCAGTCTGCAATGAGCAATGACATGAGGAGTAATTTGCCCCAAGTGTCCCACAGAGAACGATTCCAAGGTCTCTTCGTAATCAGTGGTTAGACTCCACCAACAGGAAACAATCCTTGAAAAAGTCTCACCCAGCAAAGATGTATTTTGTCAAGCCAGCATATACATTTCTCAATTTTAGTAACCATAAATAGAAGCTCAACATGTTCCAGTTACTGAATTTAGTCAGCAACAATAAACTTCAATCAAAAGGACTAGTGACTAATCAAAAATCCAGTCTTCCTACAGAGAAAGGAAGTTTCTCCATAGACAGAAACACATCATCAAGAAAACATGCACATCCCACTTAACACACTTAGCATAAAAAGAAATTGCTTGTCCACTGACAAAGCAAACAAGCTAAAAATTCAGGTAAGAGTCTGGGAAAGCATAAGGACAGAGGGAGAAGAAAGATGAAGAGAAGATGCAGAACTATGAAATAAAAAGACAACATAACAGACGACAGAGATCTTGTTTTAGCAACTGTATCTACAAGAACAGATTTGAACAAAGACATTGCCTTCATTAGCAAGGCATGATTGAAAATAAGAGAGTCACTGCAAGCTACTGTAAGAAAGCACAAGTTTGTTGTATGGTAACTAAGGACAACACTGCTCATGCGATACTGACAAGCGAGATAGGAGGCTCAGGACTCCCTCCACAAGCATCATCTTTAAGTAACACAAATATATAAAATATATTTTTACATGCTGGCTGTGAAGTGAGAGTATTTTTATAGCTTCCAGGTTCCTTCATAAAGATAGCAGCCTAAATAATAATTGATAAAAGGTTTGCAGTCACTTGCTAGCAGAACACAAGACCTTTTTACAGGAGAAAGGGGTCACACACTTCCCATTTAACCAAAAAAAGACATTCCTTTCTTTGGAATGAAATGCTCTCAATTCTTTCAGAATCTGGCCCATGCCAAACCAACCACCTGGCCAGCTCTATGGCCTCTATATACTACATAAAATAATAAATTACCTAGTTCAACTTTCCTCATTATCACAGAAACTTTTATCTGGCATATTTAATTTCTTTTTAAACTACTAGAGAAGCAAGACAGACAAAAGTTAAAGCTGATGTACAGCATACAAGCACTATGGGAAGAAATATTTTTAGAAGAACAATGGACAAGTATGGGTTTTTTTTGTTGTTTAATCATTTAAAATACATTAGGAGATATTTAGTCAGTGTTCTGGCTGCCTATCTAATTAAAAATTACAGCACAGACATGGACATAAGGACTACCTATAAATATGTTCACCTCAGCAGTCTTGCAGAGAGGAAAATAATGGAGTTTGAAGCCTAACAGAATGAGTGCCTTGAAATGCAGATAAAGGGAATACCTTAAAAAAAAACCCAAACAAAACAACAAAAAACCTCAGACAAAACCAAACAAAAACAAACAAAATCCCAACCTTTAAGCCACCCTAAGAAATAGAGAAGCAAGAAATTCAGCTAATCTCAACTGTGGTGATACAAAACACATTTCGTGAAGCCAGTCCCAAACCATTTGTGGTTCTGCAAGTTAGTTCAGATTCTATCAGAAAACTTTTAGGCAGCCAGAAAAATTAATTCATCACTTATCTTGTATTCTCCAAGTGTAAAACTCTTCCTAACATCACCGCACCTGGCCATACTAGTATCAATTGTCAAATGCATCAAAATACAGTTAAAAAATCCAGCGTTAAGCAGAAGTGAAGGCACTGAGAAGAGAGACTGATGCTATAAAGCTGGTCACTAACATACTAGAGGGACACTGATTTTTATGGTGCTTCAGAGAAAATGTCATTTTCCTACACCATTTTCTAATTGTGGAAAAATCCACAGCACTGCAAGCTGGTATGAGAAAGCAAAAGCATTACTCCCCTAAATCTTTTTCTAGGCTGTCATATGTAACATCAGCCTTAAAAGGTAAAGTAATGCAAGCACAGTAAACCTCGTAAAGGCATACTGAACAACCTGGGACACTGGAGCCCAAAGAGGCAGGATGCTCTCCAGAGCTCTTCTCGCTCTTTGCCTTGCAAGCTGGAGCCAGGAGTCCCAGAGTTCTGGCCAGTTCTCAGGACTGACTTAACATTACCATGAAGCATTAGATTTCTTTCAGCAAATTGGTAAAGATGCCTACATACAACTGCTAACAAGCACTCCTTTGTTTCACTTCCCCTTTGGCTCTCTAGGTAACCATCAACATGGCAAAAACAACAGTCGGGAGAGAAGTAACTTCCATATTTTTGCTTTGCCTTTTCACACCACGGTGTTTACTGTCCGTGTCCATTCCCATGAGACACACTGTTTTCTCCAGTTGCAAAGAAAGGCTTTTGCCCTGCAGAACAGGAAAGGAAGCTTTTTCATTTTTAAATGAGAAGCTAGTTACAAAAATAGGAAAGATGGCTTGCTGAAACGTCCATTTTTACTCTTATTTTTAATAATTCGTGTCAAACCCTATTTGTCTAGCCATACCTAGGATTCCTTGCAATCCAGGTATATTGAGGTCCTTTCCAACCTCTGAAAAACAACATCATGCTTTTAAAAATTAGGAGCTTCTTGCTCTCTGAAGGATCCTCTTTACAAATACTCTAGACAGGTGATAGCAACTAATTTTCAAATTCATTAAACCCTGCACAACAAATGAGCCTTTTATTCTGGAATATGCACATCAATATTCCCTAATAAAATCTAACAGGAAGTTTTTGCCATAAAAAATAATTCATCAACTTCATTTAATGGCTCAAAGAATCTCAGCATTTTTGATGACTTAATTTGAAACTTCAGTTGCTGAACAGTAGTTTTAAAGCAAATTCAAGGATTTGGTCAAACAACCAATTTAGTTATAAATCACACTGCTTGAAATGTTTAGTTACTCGGTTAAAAAGCCT